CATGGCCGTATCCAGCCATTATTTTTGGGGGGGGTTTTCAATTTAAGATGAAACTAGAACATGATTTTTAGAATTTTAACCAATTCAAACCATATTAGTTTTTAGGTTTAAAAATGTACTTATATTATTCACCATATTATATAATATACATTCTGCTTTAATACTTACTACTCGTAAGGTATTTCAATTGACAACCACATTTTACATGTAAATATTTTTATAGTTATATAATTATAATTAGAGTAAGTATATTTAATAATTATTAAAACATGTAACTTACATTTTTTAATTTGACAATTTATAGGATTATTAATTTTAAAGTAACATTATTTTTCTTGATGATTTTGAAAACTGAGTAAGTACCTCTTCTGGATCAACATTGATGTCCCGGTGAACTGACATTAAAGCCAATCCATTGAGGCGTGTTTCACCAGTCGAATTTCTGAGATATGTTTTCAATCTTTTTAAAGATGAAAATGTTCTTTCTGGTGTCGCTGTTGACATAGGCATAGTAACTAAGACTTGTAGAAGTTTCCTTATGTTAGGAAATAAAAGAGGGTTACAATTGTCAAGTCCTGCAATTGCTGTTTTTGGGCGAGATCCTTCTTTTAGCCACTTTGTCTTCCACATTGCAAATTCAGCTTTGAAAGCATTAGGCTCAATCAATATCTGAGAATAAAAGTTTACACAGTCGTTTATTTCTTCATTGGTAGCGATTATACATTTACTTGGAATGATTTGTTGTAATGAACTTATTAAAGATTTGTGTTTCTGAAATCTATCACAAAGCTGTGATCTGATATAGTCGAGAAATGGCAAAAAAATATTAAAATTGTAATACTCTTCAGAGCTATGAGAGGGCACATTACTACGGTGTGTTTGTTTATTAGCGATACGAGGCAAAACAATGTCTTCTTTATTTTTATTCAACATGATGGCAACAACAGAAAACAGGTCTGAAAAATGTTGTTTGTTATTTTCTCTCATTTCGTCTAATACGGCTAACACATCATCAACATGATTGCATGCTTCGACTAAATCAGCATTAATTGTCTGTAGCTGTTTACACAATGTCAATGTATACGAAAAAATATTTTCAATTATTACGAGAGGTATAACAAATTTAGCGTCTTTAATTGTACTTAATAACTGACAAGACTTTTGAGCAGTTTCTTTATTTATTGATGACTCCAATTTTTCCAATGCAACAATAATAGCGGGATATAGTTCTTTGAACCGCATGACACTTTCATGCTTATAAACCCAACGAGTTTCACATAATGCAACTAATGTGGTATGCTTTGTCTCTGAAAGAGTTTCGATAATAGTTGTTCTCAATAATTCACTTCTTTGAGCCGATGAGCGAAAAAATGTTCCAACAGTTTGAATGGTGCTAATACAGTTTCTTATTGAGGGCAATGAATAGGCGTTGGCCAACGCTAGATTGAGCGAGTGAGCACTGCAATGTACATAAAGTGCCATGGGAAAATCTTTTTTTATGTATTCTTGAGCACCATGTAAATATCCACTCATGGCAGAGGCTCCATCGTAACCTTGTCCAACTAAAAATTGACAATGTATACTGTTCTTCTGTAAACACCCCATTATCAAAGTTGCTAGTCCTTTTCCACTAAGATCAACAGCCGGTATAAATTCTAAAAAATCTTCTCGAATTTTTTTATCTTTTTGGTCATAATAACGCAAACATACAGACATTTGTTCAATTCTTCCAATATCTGTAGTTTCGTCCGCTAACACAGAAAAGCACTCGGCAGCATTTACTCTTTGGACAATTTTTGACTTGATTATTTCACCACAAATAGAAATTATGTCATTTTGAATACCAGGACTAGTATATAAAGAATTTCTTGGACCATTTTTCAAATGTTCTCCTAGCATAGTGTCACCTGAATCTACACGAAACCGTAAAAGAGCTCTAAAATTTCCGTCATTAAAATCATCCGAATTAGTTATCCGAATTAGTTCTATTCGAGTTGAAATTAAACATCGACGATTATTCTAATAAGGTATGTACACTATCAAAATTTGAAGAATACTAAAAATAACTACGTAAATACTCTGGTGCGTCCATATGAACAGCCAAAGCTATGGGCAGGCGACAACGTCAGTCGTGATCTTATCTCATTGTATACATAGTTTTACCCGTCGTAAAGCAGTGCACTGTTTTAGATTCAATTTTTGCGCGTAGACATTCTCGTAGACAATTCTATTTTATTTACACAATAATAATAAGTCTGGGATAATAATTTACCTTATGTGCGACTTAGACGATGGATTAAGAAACACTTTTCTATTGAATTTCAATTGAATACAGAAAAAAAACATCAAGTGAATAGGCAAAAAAAAAATGTTGAACAAATTTTGGGGGGGGTTTGAACCCGGAAAACCCTCCCCCTGAATACGGCCATGCTCAGTCCCACGGTATCCCTTACCAAGTCGAGCACAAATAATAATTGATGTCGCATAAAAAAATATTACGTAAATCGACGCTTAACGAACAATATATCTACTGCTGTTAATTCCCTATTAATATAATATTTTAACTTTTACACAAATTATTTAACGGGGTCGTATCTTTATAATAATCAAAACATCTATAGTTGAATCACTCCGTACCCTTTAAGTCGTACACGCCCCCGATGTAACACTTGATAACGTGTTCCTACGTATAACTTCTGTATACTTATGGTTTTATGAAGCATAAATGCATAATAACATGCATTGCTTCCCCGCATTTCCGTATCTATATTCATGTATCTATATAGGTGGTATGTTTGTTGTTTACAAATGGTCCGAGTTCACATCACATGATAATATATATGAAGATCTACGGGGAAAAACAATAGTCAATATTCCTAAACGGTTTAGTATTTTTTTAAGTTTCATAATTTAAAAAACTAAGAGATAAAGTATGAAATATTAAAAAAAAAAATGTATTGATACAAATAATTTTTGATAAATATATTTGAATAAAAAAAAAAAAGAAATTTTATTAACTTTTTAAACTTTAAAATATTATATACTATAACATACATTTATATGTATTGTTTTAACACTGCGGAGCAAAAAAAAAAAAAATTATCATAACCACCTGGTAAGTAAGTGCCAGTAAGTAGTATGTACTATCGGGACTTCATCGGGTAGCACCTATATATAATACCATTCGGCCCAGCACGCGAATATTGGCATCACAGCATTTTTTAACGTGTTGTTCTGTATTGTTTTCAGTGTTCAAACGGAGCGCCCCGACCACAAAAACGTTCTCAGCATTTTCCGGACAAATGGAATTATTCCACATAGTCAACTACCACGACGTTGATTTGCAATAATCCGATCTCCTCCCATGTTTTTAATAGGTATGCACGTGCATCATAACCTGTACATACCTATAAAAAAATATTGTTCTTAAAATTATTTCAAAGTTTTATTATATTCACTCATTACAACGTATGGTTAGTTATTATTATTTCATTTGTCTATGTGAAAAAAAAATATTATCATTATTATCTTATACAATACCTTATCTTATTCTTATCTTTGTATAATATTATACTTAACTGCTGTACTTGCATTATGGTGTTTATAAATATACGTATAGGTATTTGGTGTACCATGTGATGTTATGTACATAATACTATTATGTTCGACAATATATGTGTACCTACAATACACATATGTATAAGTATAAAGTGCCAATGTGGTTTTAAAAATTTCAATCGTGTTACCTATACTACCGTTAAGAGAAATATACTTCTCGCGAGTCTGCGTAGTTTTCTTCTTTTTTTATTTCAGTCCAAAAAGTATCCAAACGGGTAACTTCAAACATCCATATAATTAATTACCTTTTTTATGTCTATTCGGTTTGCACATACTTTTTAAGAAAAACGAAATCGAATAAATTATTTTATTGTAATAATTTTGTAAGGTATTGTAATAACAATATTATATATACAATTAAAAATGTAATATTAGTAAAACTACTCACCGGTAGTTGGATATAAATAATATAGTTTAATTTTTGGTATCAGAGTATTTGGATTTATATATTATATATTAAACATGTCTATATTTATACTTTACAATGTAATTACCTAATAAAAAAAAAACAAAACCAACGGAACGTGTATTATTTTAATATATTTTATTTATGAGCAGCATAAACTATGACATAGCAGAAAAAATACTATTGTGTTTCCAAAATACATCGTATGGTAGGATTGTTTTTGTGTACCTACGTACAAAGTGTGAAGATAATAACAGATAGTAACGCCATGATATGTCGCCAAACCAGTAGTGTAGTATACATTTAGGACATCGGAGAAATATGTTAAGTAGGGTTTGACATTACAATACTTTGTATTTAATAATCGCCATTTTTATATTATTATACAACCGTTATTATTATTTAAGTAAATGTAATATATTAACTTATTATTATTATTTTGTGTGGTATGTAATTGTGTAGGCTGTAAACATTTTTTTTTTAATTTTCATACAATTATAATTATTTATTTAACAATTTTGCTACAAAAGAACATTTTTACTTTGGGTCTTTGGTCGTTGCCTCATTGGATATGTTGTTTCACCAATGGATTTAAATGTATTTCATGAGCATTCGACTTCACATCTAGTTGATAAATAGTTTCTCTTTTGTATACCGGATAAGTTAGGGCAACTGACAGAGGCGTGCGAAAACCTGTATTTCAAAATGTTCCTACAGTACTTTTGGATAAATCTTCACAAAACGTGTAAATATGTTGAATATATTTTCATGTATAAATAATTGAATAAACATAATTTGAATTTTTCATTTAATATTGTAGCACATTAATATGAATCCAATGAGTATATTTTCTTTGAATCTCATTTGTTTTTCTCAAGTTAGCTTAAATTATTTATGATTTATACTTTTTGCAATCAATTGTAGCTGTTATATTATCATATAAAGTTGGATTAAGTTTTAATTTAATTTTTAATAATTAATATTAATTTATATTAAATTTTTGCACGAAAATTTAGATAAATTTAGTTTTATTTTTTCTATTACGAAATAATTTATTTTTTACCAACTATTTTAAAATAAGTTACATTTAATTTAAAAATCATCAGTTAAAATACAGACCCCTTAGTCTTTAACTGAAATTGTATAGCCCCTTTTACAACATTTCGGGAGGTACTGGCCACACCTGGCATCTCCCGTGCGCACGCCTATGATTTTTCTAGATACGTATAAATACATATAAATGTATACTCTATATACCATGTAGCAATATACATCATGCTGGTTATTTTTTGGAGGTCACTAACGAGTACATTTTAACAAAAATATTAAATTCCGCTCTTAGTGTACATATTTGTATAGAGCACCTGTGTATTGTTATAATATTATACGATAGGTAATGATTTTACTTGTAACAGTAACTTTATAAAGAAAAAATGTTATTTATTTTTATCAGGGGTGGACACAGGAATAAATTTCAGGGGATTTTGAAAAAAATGTTGATAAATAGCATGCTTTAATATGTTTATTTATATATTTTATTTGCAAGTATCATGAAAAACTTTGAAACAACTATTACATTTGTAAATCCGTTTATTTTTTTATAGCATTATTTTCTGATATTTCATAGAGGGAGGGATTTTAACATAAACCTAACCTAACCCCTACCACCCTCCTGCATTCGTGCTTGATATTTATATAATATTAGGGGATGATTTCAAATGACACGGGAAATTAAAAGTATATTCATTGGTTATTAGTTAAACATTTTCCAATTTACTTGATTAAATGTATTATTTTATTATTAAAATAGAAATCCCAATAATTGCTTTGATACAATATTATTAAAAGTTTTTCATTTGCAAAACCAATTAGTAGGATTAATAAATATATGTTGTATTATATTCCACAAAATTGTTCGCGATGAACTTTCCCTCTTAAAATAACTAATTCATTGTTCATGTACATTCCAATTAACGAGACTAATATTATGTTATTTAATTTTCATTAATGTTTACGTTTTGTATTCTATTAATCTAACCTCGTATAAACAGAACCTATGTAGGCATTTAGTACAAAAGTGGTTTGGAATTTGATCGTCAGAATTGTGAACTACGAGTATATGCAAATTTGTTACAATTACTTATTATTTATTTATTAGTTTTATTACAATTATGGAATTTGAAATTTGATAGATAAATCATAAACATTTAAAAACTGAATTACCTTTTTTTCTGATATAATGCGCTAATTACGTTTAAAAGAGAAAATAAACAACAATGCTATATACTCGACTATATTATTTTGTTATGAATATTTATAGGTACACAAAATTACATACACCAGTACGATAATAGTATGAATTGTGCCATAATTAGGTAAGAGTGGAACTAATAGACATAACAAATTTGAAAAAAGACACCCAATAATGTAATTAAAGCTTGATCATTGTAAACAATTATCATAAACGTTAATAACGACGTTATTTAATTTTGTGTCATTGATAGTATTACCCGGAAGTTTTAGATTATAGTTCTGTCAACGAGTACTTAGATCTTAATGGTTTTCTAATGTGACGAAAAATGAAATTATAAAATATTATTACAGCATTACAATTGTTTTTGCTCTACTTTATAATTGCTATTCCCTAACTGTAAATTAATGGTAAAATACAATTTATATATTTTTAGTATAACATAATAATTATCATATCATAGGCGAGGGCAAACCTGTATTTCAGAAGGTGCATACAATACTTTTGTATTGGGATCTATTTAACAAAATGTGTAGATATATTTAATACACTTTAATGTATAAATAATTATATAAACATAAATTATATAAACATAAAATACATTTTTATTTAATATTATGAATATGTTTCCTTAAATCTCCTATATTTTTTTCAGAAATCTTCAATTATTTATGATTTGTATTTTCACAGTAAATTGTAGCTGTTTTATTAGCATAAAAAGTTTTTTCATGAAAATTTAGAATTTAGTTTATTTTTATTATAAAACAATACATTTTTTACTAAATATTTTAGAATAAATTACATTTAATTTGAATAACATAAATTAAAATACGGGTGCCTTAGTTTTAGACTTAAATTGTAGGGTCCTCATTTACAATATTTTAGTGGGTGCCTGGGCACATTTGGCACCTTCTGTGCGCACTACTATGCTCATTATATAATATATTAACTATTTATATCAGTTATATATTTAGAAAATGTATATTATATAGAAGAATACTATATTTATTATCAATTATGATTTTTTGTACCTTTTAAGAAGCAGTATTTAGTGGCATTATATGATGGAAACATCATTATTATTATTTTTTTATTTTTATAATTTATTGTATTATATTCTATTTGGGTAGTATTGGAGTTATGACAAAAGAAAGATATAATTATTTCAACAAATTTTCATATACAATTTTTATAAAAAATATGATGTTCCCATTTGAAAACCAAAGGTAAATATTCGTTTTGGCTACTTCTTAAAAGGTACAAAAAATGTCTATACATGTTTCGGAAATCAGCGTTACATAAATAAAAATAAATGTTAAATTTAAATGTAAAAAAAGGGTAAGCATACTTAAAAAATCAATCTGCATATATTTGCTTCACCATCGATCATCGAACTTATGCTTAGGGGTTTAACGTGTAAATATGTTTTATGTATTAGGCAAGTGTTTTTTCAATCGGAGTATGCGTACCTCTGATGGTACGCAAAAAGATACGAAAGGGTACTTGGGAAAAAAAATAGTAATGTCAGAAAATGTAAGAATGTATGTATTTGAATTAATAAATTATTTATGAAATATTTGATAATGAGCATTGTGCTTGTGGAAAGAGCTTTATCGTCATAAACGTTCATTCAAAATAAATATCGTAATAGACTTTGGTAAGTTCAAAATTATGAGTTTACTTATCTTCTGTGAAACCAAATTAAGTGTTATTAAACAATCCTAAGGATTTCATTAATATTAAATTGTAAAATTTATATTATTTTTTTATATACATTGTATGGCACATACTGATTAAAATAAATAAACAATTCATAATTATTTATTTTATTGTCTATTGAAACTAATTGTATAATTTCTTATTAATCTTATGTGAAAATTGACAAATTGACAGTTGAGGATAACTTTATGGGGTATGTGAATGAAAAGGGAATGAAAAAAGCTATAATAGGTAATGAAAATAAAATGAGGACTGTAAGATCTTCTGTATTTTTTGTAAAACTATGACGGCCATGATAACTGTAAGCAGTGGCATATCCAGAATTCATTTAACGGGGGTGCTTTAAAATTTAATCAACTCATAGTAATTGGGGGGGACTCTGCCCTCCCGTATTACATTAATAAAAGCCATGTATTTATATAAATGATTAAATTAAGACAGTATATGTAAAATCTACAAGTTGTATACAACGTTTATTCAAATTATACTGTAAGTGTTCAATTAATACACGCCGTGCCGGTTCGGGCCAGTCATTGTTATCTGACTTTTGGATATGTATGGGTCTGGGCGATAGCATTTTTTCCCCTCCCGGCCTTTGACTGGCTCGGGTGATATCTCGCGACAAAAACAGGTCGTAGCGGTCTGTCGTGTTGGGTTCGCTCGTGCGGTACGGACCTCTTGCCGTCGTGCATATTGCCGCCGGGCATATAACTTTTTCTCTT